TTTGTCCCTGGCCCCTGCATGCCACCTCTCGGGGTTCCATGTCCCGTCCTTGAGGTAGGCCCTAGGAATGTTGCTGGGCCAGGCCTGCGCGAGGGGTGAGTCGCGCAGGGCCAGCAGGACCGTCCTAGAATACATAGTCCGATGCAAGGAGTCCATGGCACAGAGGGGGGATATATTATTGGTGGATCTCAGATCTTCTCACCGAAGCCAGGGAACAAGAGTCTGATCTCAAGGGACAGTCCTTAAGTCCTCCCGAACCCAGTCCTCTAGGCCAAGGCGGGCCAAGTCCGAAAACCAAGCCCCAAGTCCTCACCTGGCCGAGGCCGTTGGAAGGGCCGTTGAGGTCGCCAGAGCCACCGGGGCCTTTGGAAGGGCCGTCAGGGCCGCTGGCTCAGTTCTTAGAGCACTATAGATTATTATGTCTTTGTATGTATCTTACAAATGTTTTGTGTCAGAATCAAGAACTTGGGGGGTGGGGTGTTTCCAAAGGCCACATGAAAATCTCTTTGAAACGGAGTATAAAGTAAACATCATCAAATAAAAAGTGTGCATTTTCAGAACAAAAAAAGGATTTTTTTTTTAAATATACCGTACAGCTCATTTTTAGTTCTTTGCCTCCACCTCCTCACTTAGGGCTCTCTTATTTAGAACATAAAAATCTTCCAAAACAAGCTTGATGCTTAATACCTATGTGGACGTGTCCATATCATTCTCCTGGCAGCAATATAGAATTTTAAGATTTTTTGTTTTAACATCCTAGTTTAATTTGTAACTCTGAGATTTCCTGGTGATTTCCAATCCAAGATTTAACTGGAAGAGATCAACTAGATCACATGATGTGTCGTGACGTATTGCGACTTTTCTCCCATTGCCAGAGCTGGGGTGGGTGCAGTTTCGGAAATTATATGTACCTCTTTCCGTTATGGCGAACATATCCAACACACCTTCCTCCTCCTATTTTCCCCACCACAACAAACTGTGAGGTGAGTTGAGCTGAGAGAATGGCTCAAAGTCACCCAGGTGACTTTCAAGGCTAAGAAGGGACTTGAACTCATGGTCTCCCATTTTCTAGCCTGGTGGCTTAACCATTAAACCAAACTGGCTGGTAATGGTTGACAATGTACTACAGAATTAAACAAGCATTTATTTGAGATATGAAAGAGTTAAATTCTTTCTGTTCTATTCTATTCTGTTACCTCTAATTTGTCCTGTCCTTGGAATGAAACAAGGTACTGAATGGTGCAGATCTTTCTCAATTGCAATACACAAAATTAAAAAAAAAAATCCTTAACCTTGGATGGTCTTATCCTTGGCAGGAGGAGGTAAAGCACTCCAAGGATGAGATCAGATAAACTTATCCTCCTTTCCCTTGGCAAAAATCAAGTGAGACAAAGTTATGTTTGTAATTCAGATGCGATTAATTATGGAGTCTATATAAACTGGTTGGAAACCTTCATGAGGTGGAACTTCATTGCACATATAATTGGAAATATGAGAGGGTTTGCTCCCCACCATATCTTTGGCGTTTTTCTGAGTGGCAGAAAGGACATAAAGTCTTTTAAATTTTTATTCTATTCATTAGTGCAGTGTTTCTCAACCTTGGCAACTTGAAGAAGTGTGGACTTCAATTCCCAGAATTCCCCAGCCAGCAAGAAGAGGATGACTAGCAGCAAAGTGGCTGGACTCAG